GGGACTGCGGGCCTTCTTGCGAGAGCAAGCACCTATTCGCTTAAGTCTGGCATAAGCTTCTGCGTGATCGTGAACTGACCACGCGCTGGACATATCACCTGCAATATTTGCATGATGCTGGGCGGCATCGTTGCGCACCTGCATGTTAACAGCTTCGTGAATCGCCTGTGTGCATATGTGATATCCGAAATTCGCCTAAGACGGTGTAGCCAAGACTGGACTCCGTGAGGACGCTGGAGACCCAATCGAATCCAAGAGGTTCCCGTAGGCAACTGTGGAGACCTTGATTTGGCGCCAATAGTGGGCCGCACCCCTGGGACCTTGACTTTTTCCGTGGTAAGATCATGCATGGTGTCTTGTATGTGTTGCCAGATGAGATGCGCCCAACTGAACGCTTTGAGGATGTGGCGAGCCCAACAGGCCTTGGAGGCTTTGATGGACCTCATGCTATGGGTGTGGGTGTGCCTTGACATACTCCACCAAGACTCGCAAGTAGGGGCAGCCCACACTCGGAAACAGATAGCCAAAGAACTGCGATCCCAGAAATACCTCAGTCGTCTGCAACGTCTCAGTAGGTCCATGGCTTGCAAAGGAGATTGTGAAAGCCATGCCTGCCTTTGCGTGCGTCCTCGTGAGGTGGGCTGCGCTGGGGAAAAGCAAACTGGTATAGACTTATGCAAACAATCCGTAATAGCTGCGCAGTGGTCATTGGGATGCACCGCGAACTCAATTAGAGGTGCACATTCGCGGACATGCGCGGCAAATGCTGCTGCAGCTTCTGATTCAGTGAAAGCCTCTGGATTGCACTTGATCTTGGAATAGTCCTGAGGAGCACGAAACTTTGGAGCAGAGAGAGAAGTACCGCTCCGACAGCTTTATGGTCGACAATGTTGATGGAAAGGTCGATTTCGTGTTGAACCGATGCGCCGTGCACGTGTGTATTAGCTGAACAAGCGATGTAGTCGATGCGTCTTCCTTTCTCCGCTCTCTGGTCGTTAGGCGACTGCCAAGCGACGCCTGCGCCGTCAGATTGAAAGGAGGTGGAGGGGGGCCAGAGTTGCCGATCACGTAACACGTTATGGAGAACTTCCCCAGGATAGTTTTGTGGTTCAGCCTGAACCGCTCCAATAGCTTCGGAAACCACGGACCCAACCCAGGCGTTGGCGTCGAGGAGGAAAAGCTCGGGGATCGAACTGTCTAGTAAAGCTGAAAACTGACTGCATGCATCCTCCCACCATTTCCGAATGTGTTCCTTGCCTGATGCACTGTGCGGAGCATGGCCTATCACACCGTCGAGGCTGAAATTGCCCTTCCTGATGGCAACTATGAGCAAGCGAGGAGTGGCGTAGAGTACGCGGCAACCACGAAGAGAGAGTCTCTCTGCTTCGTGAAACACAGCACGCTTGTGTATCCATAAAGAGCAGCCGTACCTCTGAAATTTGTCTGCTCCAGCATGCAATGCAATATATTCTCCCACTTGTGAGCACCCGTCCCTAGGAAAGCGAGTCTCGACCGTGCCTGCCAGAAATATTTTGTGCTGCGCGAACATGTGGCCCAGATGGGCCATGCGACCAGGAAGGAAGAGCCCACTAGTTTTTTTGAACCTGTCCGCCCTGGGATTCAAGGCCAAGGCGTTGGCTGCTAACATTTTGAGGCTCTTCGTAAAGGACTGCGACGAGGTACCCTTGTTGAGGCCTTTGGGTTCTTGGCTTGGTGCAATCCCAGAAAGCCCAAGAGTGGGATCCATAGACCGTGGTAACTGTATGCCATAGCTGGGTGGGTACTGGCTGCGATCCGGTATGTGGGTGATGGTGTGTAGCCACACCCAAGCAAGCTCCGCCTGCGTCGGTAATGGCGATCGCCATTCCGTGGGCGGATGAGCGAAATTGCGCAAGGAAAGCGAAGCAATCGTTGCAAGTGTATCTGCTAGCTCATTCCACGGATGAGCTGCGTGTCCTGGCACATGCTGAGATATGAAACCACGGCTAGACATGCGTAGGATACGGGCGAGGGCATCCAGTAGGGCTCTTTCCTGAGCATGTTTCCCTTGGGCACTCCCACCTTTAATGATGGCCAAGACCTCCATATTGTCCCCAAATAGAGAAACTTCCAGACTGCCCAAGACATCCGCTTCTAATTGAATAATCCAAGCCAAGGCCCATTGGGCCGCGTAGAGTTCACCGAGAAACGAGTAATGCTCAGGATTGTGGGCCCTTGGGTCGTACACGTTAGCCGCGAATCCCATCGGAGCAGTAACTCCCAATACATCCGTAATCAGAACCACGAATGCCCAACTAGGAAGACCAGGATCCGATGTGTTGCTGGAGTCGTATAGGTGGGGTTGACAGCCGCCAGAGCCGTCCACGTAGACTTGTATGCTCCTCCATGAAGACAAGTCCTCAAGTGAAGATAAAGTAGGCATGGCCTGAACCGTGGAAGAGTGCAGAAACGAGCAAACGCTGAGAAGGTCCCTGGATAGCTGAAAGTCCCATGGAGAGAACAGCCGGCTGAGAAACTCAGTGCTGTCAGGTAAGGGACTATACCTGTAACCTTTGATGGGTTCCACCGAGTCTGAAATAGGTGTACCTGGCGCTGGAGCCAGCTGGGGCTAGGAAAGGTTGTTATCCCTGACGTCCTGATTGTAGTCGTCATCGCACCAGCTGGCTAATGACCCCCCATCGCCGTAGCTTCTGCTGGTGTGGCTGGCGTGTCGTCGGCGATGGCCTGAGACTTGTGGGGTGGTTCGTCTTCGTGAAGATCTGCTGCCGTTCGGGCTGATCCTTTTTGCTGAGCCTGCTGGAACACGTTGGGTAACCTCTGCTGACCAGGCATATTTCCCGCTGCATGCTGCCATGCTGGAGACTTGGTTCTCCCAGCTGATACTCCCGTGCTTGAACGTAGTGCTGCCAGTTCTGCGGGGCTGAGATCGGGTGAGCTGTCTCCAGCTGAGCTGTTGGAGCCTGCGCGAGCCGCAGTGGCCTTTTGCAAGATGGCCTCCTGTGCAGAGCGTGGAGACTGCGAAGGTGCTGCAACTGATGGGGCACTGGCCGTGGTCAACGTAGTCAATGACTGTTGAATTGGTGTGAGAGCTTGGCTGGGCATATCGATTTGTGATGTGAGCTGCGCCTGACCCGACTGCAACTCGGCAATGATCCTGGGCACCGCAACGGGCTGGCCAAAAGCTGGAGAAGAGGGTGTGGCCGTAGGCGAACGAGCATTTGTGGCCGATGTGGCAACGCCTGAGTCGACCTCCATGCTGTCGGCGGCGAAATGAACTCCCTTGGGCATGCTTGGTGTAGGCAATGCTCGTGTTGCTGCCGCTGCTGCTGCTGCTGCTGCTGCTGCCGCCTCTGCCGTCTGCTCCCCCTGTAATTGAAGGGCCTTGAAGTGGCTTAGAATCTGTTGAGCGTGCTCGGCGTCTGCTTGAAGTGCCTCTCTGGCAGCAGTCGCTTTGGTCATAGCTAACTTCATTTCCTCCTCTGCCATACGTGCTTCTGCCAATCTCTTCTGCGCTCTCTCCAAATATTTCTCTTGATTGCCAACGCGATCGCGGGCTGAGAAAGCATGGATGTGCATGTACATGTACACTGCGTACTCGAGCTCCAGAGGCTGAAGCATCTCTGAAGTGGCTGCCAAGGCTTTGTTGCTGATGAGCTGTGTCTCCAAGGCCGAGAGGGTGGCTTTGATTTGACCTCTGTGTTCGGCAAGCTCCTTGGTGCCAGTCGGCGGTTCCACCCAGCTGGGGTGGGCCTTGGCGACCTCTGGAGTCGCTGGCAAGATGGTGAGAGAAATTGGCTGAGAGGCTGCTGGTGGCGTAGATGGTGCTCGTCCGCTGCCTGCACTGGGTGGTAGCATCTGACTGAGACTGGCCTGCTCTCGACGCCGACGATGACCTCTGTCTGCGCGGCAGTGAGCGTCCTCTGTGGCGACCCCGTGGCATAGGGAAGCAGCGCGTACACCAACGAGAGGATGACCAGTTGGAAGAGCCGCATTGTCCGCAGGTCCAATTGCCTCCTCTGGGCGTCGACCATGGTGGAACACTGGCTGGAGGGTCTGCTGGCATGGCGCTGTGATGAGCTGCAAGCAAAGTCCGCGCTGCACTGACCCTGAGTAATGTACGGGCTTGGCTGCGGGCCGCCCTGGCCCTGCGATGCCAAGCTGGCTCGGGTGAGCGTAGTGACCGAATGCTGACCGCGAGGCGCCGCCTGGCGCCCTGCGGCTGGGGCTGCAAGCGCTCGCTGGAGCGTCGCTGCCCGCGACGAGGCACGGCTAGCCCGCTGCCCATGGCGGCGGCGGGCCTGCACGTTGCCGATGTCCCGAGGGGCGCGCAGCTACTGGGTAGCTGCACCCAAGGCCCCTGAGCCGGGACGGCGGCTGAGGGAGGAGGGAGGAGGGAGGAGGGAGGAGGGAGGAGGGAGGAGGGAGGAGGGAGGAGGGAGGAGGGAGGAGGGAGGAGGGAGGCGGGAGGCGGGAGGAGGGGGAGGGAGGCGGGAGGAGGGAGGAGGGAGGAGGGAGGGAGGGAGGGGGAGGAGGAGGAGGGAGAGGGAGGGGGAGGAGGGAGAGGAGGAGGGAGGAGGGAGGAGGGAGGAGGGGAGGGAGGAGGGAGGAGGGAGGAGGGAGGGAGGAGGGAGGAGGGAGGAGGGAGGGAGGAGGGAGGAGGGAGGAGGGAGGAGGAGGGGAGGAGGGAGGAGGAGGAGGAGGAGGGAAGGAGAGGAGGAGGGAGGAGGGAGGGGAGGAGGGAGGAGGGAGGAGGGAGGAGGGAGGGAGGGAGGAGGAGGGAGGAGGGAGGAGGGAGGAGGGAGGGGGAGGAGGGGAGGAGGGAGGAGGGAGGAGGGAGGAGGGAGGGAGGGAGGGAGGGAGGGGGGGAGAGGGGGAGGGGGAGGAGGAGGAGGAGGAGGAGGAGGAGGAGGAGGAGGAGGAGGAGGAGGAGGAGGAGGAGGAGGAGGAGGAGGAGGGGAGGAGGAGGAGGAGGGCAAGAGGGGGGAGGAGCAGTGCCCCAGGCAGCGTCGTGGCGCCTCTGACGCGCCGCGCCACGCGCCGCGCCGGGCTCCGCGGCGCCCCCTGGCGGCGGTCGCCGCCTCTTCGGCGGAGGAGGACGAGATGGCGGTTTGAGTTCAGAGGAGCAGAAGCGACCACAGACTTTTGAGGAGGAGGAGGACGAGGAGGAGGAGGAGGAGGAATGAGGGAAGACGAGGAGGATGAGGAGGAAGGAGCGGGGACGAATACCGAGAGCAGCTCGTGTCTATCCTGATCAGGACTCGCTGTCGGTTTCGCTGCGCGCGCTGTCCGTTCGAGACAAGCGTCGCCTGCCCAACGGCGGTCGTTGTCGGCTTCGAGCAAAGTTTGCTGTTGGCATCGTGCCCATTGTCCCGCACCAATCTTGGGCGTGCTAAGAAACGTTCAAGCATCTTGAAGATTCCGACAGCAGTCACGGATAAGAGGGCGGAGGAGGCGTTGGATGAGGAGGGAAGGGGGGGAAATGAGGATAAGGAGGAGGCGGAGGGGGGCGAGAGGGGATCAGCAGGAGAAAGGGGAGGAGGATGAGGACGAAGTGGAGGTGGAGGAGGAGGAGGAGGAGGCGGATGCTGTAAGAGGAGGAACAGGATGATGATGCTGATGAAGATGATGATGCTGATCATGATGCTGATGACGACGACGATGATGATGAGGATGTTGATTATGCTTATGAGGATGATGGAGATTCTGATGATGATCCTGATTATGCTGATGCTGATTATGTTGTGATGCTGATGCTGCTGACGATGATGATGCTGATGATGCTGGTGATGCTGTTTGTGATGATGATGATGATGGTGGTGGTGGTGGCGGTTGTGATAATGTTGCTGCTGCTGATGATTATTATGAGGATGAGGATGATGGAGATGAAGATGAAGGTGAAGATGAAGACGATGAGGCTGAGGATGACGATGAGGATGAGGATGAGGATGAGTAGGAGGATGAGGATGACAATCAGGATGATGGTGATGCTGATGCTGATATGCGTCTGATGACGATGAGGATGATGATTCTGCTGATGATGATACTGATGATGATGCTGCTGATGACGATGATACTGATGATGATGCCAATGATGATGACGATGAATATGATGATCATGCTGCTGCTGCTGCAGATGATGATGATGATGATGATGATGATGATGATGATGATGATGATGATGCGGGTGATGCTGCTGGAGTTGTTGATGATGATATCGATGATGTTGCTGCTGATGATGACCATGATGATGCTGCTGCTGATGATGGTGAAATTGATGATGCTGATGATGATGATGATGACGACGATGATGATGCTGATGCTGCTGCTGCTGCTGATGATGATGATGATGATGATGATGCTGATGCTGCTGCTGCAGATGATGGTGGTGATGATGATGATGATGATGAATTCGACGATGATGATGATGATGATGATGATGATGATGATGATGATGATGATGATGATGATGATGATGATGATGATGATGATGATGATGACTGATGATGATGATGGTTGGTGATGACGTGGTGATGATGATGATGATGATCCGATGATGATGATGATGATGATGATGATGAATTCGCACGATGAGATGATGATGATGAATGATGATGATGATGATGATGATGATGAGATGATGATGATGATGATGATGATGATGCTGAATGCTGATGCTGATGCCTGATGCTGCATGATGATGATGATGAGATGATGATGATGATGATGATGATGATGATGATATGATGATGATGAGATGATGATGATGATGATGATGTGATGATGATGATGAGATGATGATGAATTCGACGATGATGCTGGTGCTGATGCTGCCTGCTACTGCTGAGGAGGAGGAGGAGGAGGAGGAGGAGGAGGAGGAGGAGGGGAGGAGGAGGAGGGCCCAGGAGGACGGAGGAGGAGGAGGGTTGAATGGAGCAGGAGCGATAAGCAGGAACGGGAGGGGATTGGTAGGAGGAGGAGGAGGAGGCGAGAGAAGGAGGAGGAGCCCAGGAGGCGGAGGAGGAGGAGGAGTAGGATGATGGCAGGAGGAGGAGGAGGAGGAGTGAGGAGGAGGAGAGCAGGAGTGAGGAGGAGGAGGAGGGGAGGGAGGAGGAGGAGGAAGAGGAGGAGGAGGAGGAGGAGGAGGAGGAGGAGGAGGAGGAGGAGGAGGAGGAGGAGGAGGAGGAGGAGGAGGGGTGTTCAAAAGCATCGCCGAGCGGACTCGCTCTGGCCGAGTGGTCGCGGTCTTCGACGGCTATTCAAGCCGAGCGCGCTCGTAATCCCTGAGGCCACAGCAGAGGTATATAGACAGGAGGGCCTCAACTGTGCACCTGCACTGGTCCCGGCCAGGCCGATCCAGGGCTCCAGATCGGTGTGTACCCGCCATCGTCAGAGACGGCCCACGCCCTATTGGGAAGGCGGAGGCGGCTCTCTCGGTGGGGACGGGTGCTGCGCGGCCGGGAGGAGACGGCCCCCACCTCCACCTGGGGGGGGGGGGCCGGCCAGCGGGGCCAAGGTTTTCCCAGAAGGGGGGGGGAGGGTCTTGCATGTCCTGGCGCGGGCCTCCCCTGACAAGTCCGGTGGCCGACGCCAGTCCTGGGTCCAGGATCTGCCTGGGGTCCAGGCCAGTGTTCAGGAGCGAAAGAAGGACGTACACGTACATGAATCCACGCTGTTTTCGAGATTTCGCATTGCGCGACTACGCGTATCACGCGGCCGGTCTCGCGGGTCAAGGGGCCGTGTTCATGTACATAGCTGGGCGCGTACGTCCTTTGTGGGCTCCCTAAGTGTGGGTGCACAGCTGGCGTCCTCCCAGTAGCAGAAGGGCCCGCGGGGGCTTATTTTGCAAGCCGCAGGGCTGGAGGAGCCCCAGCAGCAAAGGCGTACTCTACGGTGCCTCTTCAGCGGCTCAGTGAGCGGGGCAACTGGGCTCTTCCTCCTCCCCCTCTCCCCCCTGCCCCTCCTCTTCTTCCTCCTCCTCCTCCTCCTCTCCCTCCCTCCTTCCCTTCCTCCCTCCCCTCTCCCTGCCTCCCTTTCTCCCCCCTTCCTCCCCTCTCATCATGCCTCATGATTGATTGCCCTGCTCGCCGGAGCCCCTGAGACAGCAGCCGCAGCGTCCGCGTCGCCCCTGGCAGCCTGCCTTTCCCAGCCCCCGCCCATGCGGGGGCTGGGCGCGCCAGCGGCAGCCCAGGCCCACCTGGCACTCGCCGCCCTTTTTTTTTGTGTGTGTTTTTTCTCGAACAGCCGCTGCGCTCCGCCCGCCCCCCCCCCCCCGAGGCCCCCGCCCAGGAGGCTCTGCAGGGGGCCAGCGGTGGCCCAGCCTTTTTCTCGAGCAGCCGCTGCGCATAGGACCGCACAGCGACGCGCCCGCAGGTGTCCTGCCCTCCCCGCTGAGCACGCCAGTGGCCCGAGCCTTCTTGCCCTGAGATCCTGGCGCTGCAATTTTTTTGCAACGGGCGTTTTCGCTTGATTTCGGGCCCCGGGACCCTCACATGTCGATCGGGCTCGGAAAATGACGCGGACAGATGAGGTCCGGGTCTCCGGGCGTGATTTTTGCGATGTTGCAACTTTTTTGCAACGTCGGATCTCAGTGTGTATTCGAAGAGTCCTCATGTGCTGTAAGCCCGGTCGCCTCCACGCTCTCGGTGGCCTTCACTCTGGGCTCCGCCCCCCCCCCACCACTCCGGAGGACGCCCTGCAATTCCGCCTCCCGACGATGGGGCCCCAGAGGTCTTCAGAGGTGCCTGGCGGCAGACAGGGCCACCATCATTCGGGAACCCCGCACGACTCCGGACGACGACGACGACGACGACGGCGACGACGACGATGACGACGACGACGGTGGCGGCGGCGGCGGCGGCGGCGACGACGACGAGGACGACCAGGACGACGACGAGGACGACGACGACGACGGCGACGGCGACGACGAGGACAACCACGATGATGACGACGACAACGACGACGGCGGCGGCGGCGGCGGCGATGGCGGCGGCGGCGGCGGCGGCGACGACGACGACGACGACGTCGAGGACGAGGACGACGACGACGACGACGACGACGAGGACGATGACGACGTCGACGACGACGGCGGCGACGACGAGGACAACGACGACGACGACGACGGCGAGGACGACGACGAGGACGACGACGACGACGACGGCGGCGGCGACGCCGACGGTGGGGGGGAACGGGGGGGGGAGACGGACGAGGACGAGGACGACGACGACGTCGCCGACGACGACGACGGGCGACGACGAAGAGGACAACGACGACGACGACGACGACGGCGACGACGAAGGCGACGACGACAAAGGCGGCGACAGCGGCGGTGGCGGCGGCGGCGACGACCACGACGACGACGACGACGAGGACGGGGACCACGACGACGACGGCGACAACGACGACGACGGCCAGGACGAGGACGAGGACGACGACGGCGACGACGAGGACGACGGCGGTGGCGACGACGGCGAGAACGGCGGCGGCGGCGACGGCGGCGGAGGGGGGGGGGGGGGGTGGGGGGGACGACAACGACGACGACGACGCGGACGGGACGACGACGACGTCGACGACGACGGACGACGAGGGCAACGACGACGAGGACGGACGGCGACGACGACGGTCGGCGAGGACGGACGACGACGACGGCGGCGGCGGCAGGTGGTGGCGGCGTCACGACGACGTCGACGAACGACGAGGACGAGGACGACGGTCGACGTCGGACGACGACGACGGCCGACGACGAGGGACAACGACGACGACGACAAAAGGCGGCCGACAGCAGCGTCTGGCGGCGTGCGGCGGCGACGTCGACGACGAGGACACGACGACGTCGACGCGACGGCCCACGGCAACGAACGATGACGAGGACGGAGATGACGTGGAGATCGTCGACGACGACGGCGTCGACGTGGACAACGACGAGGACAACGACGGACGACGACCGAATGACGACCGACGACAGGCCGCGGCGCGACCGGACGGACGGACGGCGGTGGCGGTGCGGGCCGGCGGTGGCGGGCGGTGATGACGACGACGGCGACGACGACGAGGACGAGGACGTCGACGACGACGCGTCCGACAACGACGACCACGGCGACG